AAGTTTCGTTGACTTCCAAGTCTTAGCGAAGCTTTACACGCCTAACAAATTAGATAAACGCTATGACCAATTTGCAGGTAACCGGCAAAACAATGACTGGGCTGCAATTGAAACTGTTTTATCAATACATATGTAAATATAACAGTGTATGGGTGTATAACAATATGTACATACGTACAAATATGTATGTATAAATATATGTAACATATATTTTGCGCAAAATGGCAAAATTAAAGGAATGTGAAAACAAAAACCAAACAATACAGATTTAGTGCGCTCATTACACACACATACATACACTCACACACTCATACACACCCACACACACAGCGACACAGACACCCCGTAAAGGGGGCGTTTAAATGTGCCAGCAGATTGGGGGTGGCGATCTCTCTTTGTGCACACACATATAAATACACAACATACACACATTCACATGTGCATGTGTATGTGTGTGCTTAAATTTGTTATTTTACGTACCATGCACTGAATACAACGAACGCGAATGACAATCAAAGCGTACGCGCCAATCGCCAAATGAATGGAAATGCAATAGCAATCGCTATTGGATGGGCAAAGGGAGAGCAACAGCAAAGAGGAAACAGCGAGAATAGGCGAGCAAGTGAGCGAGCGAGAAAGCAGTGAGAGCACGCATTAGGCGAAGGCCAAGTGCTTCTTTGTTGTTGTAATTGTTGTTATTGTTGGCGCTGCTGCTGCTGCGGGCGCTACTGCTGCTGTTAATGTCTTCTGTATTGCCGTAAAGAAAGCCAACGGACTTATGAATGAAAGTGACGCTTTACAACAAATACGAGCAAAGAGAGTGAGAGGGACAACTGCGTCATAACAAACCAATAATAAAGCACACGCATGTACACACATACACATACATGTATGTATGTATGTAGTATAACGCATAAAATTGTCTTACTTTAAAGTTAGGCGCAGACACACTCATACACAACAGTAGTTCTTAGGTATGGTTATTTGCCCATGTAATTAGCTAGTCATTTATCATTTATTGTCACAATACACACGAAACACACAAAAGACAAAACGAAGTGGACGCCTCCGCAGTCAGCAATACAACTGTTTTATAGCGCGTGTGAAGCTGCGCTGAAGTTGTGTGGGTAAGTTTGCCAAACGCTTCACTGTGGGTTGCTGCTGCTGCACATTCACATTTACATTCGCATGCACACAACACACACATCCAACGAAACAGACTGATATCTTTTCGACTGCGTCTGTTGGTTTGGGCTCTGCTTACTTTTGGATTTGCTGTATTGGATTTGTTTAATTGATGTATTCGTTGACTGTCTTAGCAATTGATAATTGCAATATAGGACTAAATATATATTTAACAATAATAAAAAAAACAACAACAAAATTAGTTAAATATCAACCACACGCGACGGCCAAATAGAAATAACAAAAACAATCAACTCATTACTTCTACGATTACATATACACTGAAGTGGAAAATAAACTGCAACCTGTTATCGATATATTTGAACAACTATCTGTGCGGCCTGTCTGCCTTTTGCAACCAGTGCTACCAGATCTCCACGGCTTAAAACAACCATAGCAGCAATTCAAAGAAGCTCTATTATTATTATATTATTATT